CTGCCTCTATCATCTGTCAATCGGCTCGTCACAAGAGTCCATATATATATATATATATCACAAGAGTCCATATATATATATATATATCACAAGAGTCCATATATATATATAAAATGAATGAAAGGTCAGTTAACAAAAGGCAAAGGACACCTTATTCCACCATTGTCTTACTCCCCAAACCCACAAAACTGTTAGAAAACTGAAAGATAACACTAAATAATCATATCAAATCCCTTTAACATTTATAAACCACATACCCTCCACTTCAAATAGTGCTACTTACCACTGTGAAATTCATTACTTTCAGGATCCATATTGTCATGGCTAAATTAACGATCATGGTAACCAATAGCAAGAGGACAAAGAAGTATAAGCACCTCTTTCGCCAGCCATAAATCCCTACTGGATAAAGTTGAGGATTTTCTGTTCTTGGCAGGCTGTTTTGCTGTGTTGCTAGTATATACTGTTCCCGTGTCATCTATCAGAAACAAGAAAAATGCAAAGCATTATATATTTATCTGAACAATTAAAATATCCTCCATTTCTTTTTACTAAGTGATCCTTAAGAAAACTCTTTTTTGTCTTCTGAGAAAACCATTTTTTACACTGTTAGAAGAATTAATTTGGTCCAATTTTCGGAGCTGAGTTACGAATAAACATATAGTACACAATAAACACCACTGTGCTTCTAGAAATAGAGTTTATTCATTCAACCATGTACAATGATGGATAGTAGTCTACCTCATTAGGGGTCTACCAGCAGAGGTATATAAAATCACAAACAGGCTTTGATGTTTAGATGTTTAGATGTGTGCTCGCTCACAACCAGCAAACCAGTTGTTAAGGTAAGTGTAGCCCACCTCTGCCTTTAACACAGTAGATGTCTGTTCTGTCTTCAGTTCTTTTACTCCCCAACACCTTTTGAGAAAGAGACATGGGAGGTGCAACTGCTGCTTTGTTTTGCAGTGTTCCAGAGGTGGGTTGCTTCTGGTTTGGCCCAGTTTGGGTGAACCGGCCTCGAACAAGTTCCCTCGCCGCTGCTGGGCCACCTCCATTTCAGATTTTAGTGACTGTTCACCACAATCCAAAATACACAAAATGTGCAAAATGCGCAAAATGCACATGCACGAAGAACAATTTACATTGAGCAGGGCATGTGCATTGGTTGCGAACCATTAATAAAACCTGCAGCAACATACCCCTGCAGTGTTCTCAAACTCTTTTAAATCATGAGAGAGAGAGAAAATAGTGGCACCGCTGCAGATGGGTGGAAGAGAAATACTGCATATCCTATGAAGTAGGTAAGTAGGTAGGTAAGCACAGAAAGTGGGGGAAGATAAGAGAAAGAGAAAAGAAGAGGTGAAACATGCAACAAGGATGCATATAGTTCCAAGATGCTTCAATTCCCTAGTATTGCTACTACATGACATTTTAAAATAAATAATTCAAAACCTTAAACCCAACCATTATATTCTGTTATTTGCAACAGTGTAATTAACTCACTTCACATTAAGTAACTGCTGTCTGAAAAAATAAACTACAACAAAAATCTTGCAAGGCTCCAACTTTAAGAATTCAGGTTCTTTGCCGTAGAACAGGACATAAATAATTGTTACAGTTCAGCCTGAAAGATAATGGGTCAGCTAACAAGTCTCCCTTAATATTGGTTGAGGCAAAGCCGGTCAATAGGCAACTAACCTTTCATGAATGTGGAAAGGTATGAAATAGGAATGTAATTGGACAGAATCCAGAGCACAGCTCCAATGTCAATTTGCAAAGTTATTCATATTTGTAAATGCCAACATTCACAACAGGCTCCTTGTTATAAAATATATTTATTCAACCAAAGAACAGAAATGATCATTTCACATTTGAGAATTACATGCAATGTTAAAATACATTTTTTGCAAAACACAGCTGCTGCAAGCCTGATCCTATTATCCGGCAGTGAGGTCACTAATTGGCTTGGATTATAGTAAATCCTTTTCTGTCAGAACAACCTTGTTAAATTTTCATGTACATTCAATTTTATCTCTTAGGGATTCCTCCAGTCCACTAACTAGTGGATGATTTACCATGACTTAAAATAGGAAATCCACCAATAATGAAAAATTCATTTGGTCCACATTTTTAATTATACTGATCTTATTTCAACTTCCAAGATCTATCTATAGATCAGGGCACAGTTATCTTTCAGATTATACCATTCTCCAAGTGTCATTGTATAATTTTTGGTTTAAAAATAATTTAGAAACAGTGTATTTTAGTATATTATGCATATACCCCCAAGGGATTGTCTTATTTGCTTTTCATTCACAAAATGAATGAAAATGTGATGGAAAGATTGCATGTACTTAAACTTGTCATGGGATGTAAAAGGTTGGCAACACTTTAGGCTCTTGCAGAAAATATTTTATTCTTAGAATGTGAAAATTCTTGTCAGGCTAAGAGAACATATAGGGCTAACATTATACCTTTAAATGTATTTTATTGTGCTAAATGCTATTTTAATGGGATACATTGTCTAATGGTATTTTGTAAATAGTAAAATTTGTTTATATAACTTCAAGCAAAAAAATGAGAAATGGGCTAATTTATTAATTATAGCATTGACTACTGAGGACTCACTGATTTATAGGAAAACATCAAGCTAACATCAAGATTGTAAAGAATTTAAACCAACACTTAGAAATAATTTAAACCAATGATTACTTATATTAGCCTTCAAAAGCTAATACTATTATTAGCTTTAAAAGCTGGCAGAAAGATTAGACCCCCTTGATTCAACAAGGTGTGCTCTCCAAAGCACACTAATGGCTAGTGTTAGAGCAGAAGAATTAAAATAGACTGTGATTTAATAGTTGTGTGATCAACAGATACAGACTTACACTTGAATGTAGGAACATTACTTCAGATTACACCATTACTTAACTTTTAGGACAAAGCACAAACCTGATCCACACAGAACTGTCAATGATGTGATAGGATATATTTTATGGATGGACATTGGGGAATAAGAGAAGGATCTACTCCCACATCTGTGAGTTTATGTGCCATTCATTCTTTCAGTGTCAAGGGGAAGTGGTACTCCACACTTTTTTTTAAATTATTCAATATGTAACCACTAAAAACCAAGAGTGAAATACTGGCATACAGGAGGGTGGGGAAATCCTGTGGTTTTGCAGTAGTGATGGTAGTGAACAATTAACTTTTGTTTTGTAGAGTTTTTTTTCCACTGAAAAAAAGATAATCCCACATTAAAGAGCTCTGAAGAAGTTTTAAAAGGTAAATGACAGAAATATAGAAAAGGGAAGTGAAATAGAATGAGAGGGAGGAAAGTTCTAGTTGAAGACAAGTCTGTCTAAAGCCCTAAATTGTGGCATTTCTTTTGGGACACAGCATATTCTTCTATCAAGGGAGCAGTACCTCTTGACAGCTGCCCTGCAGGCTTCAGCTTTCACATTTGCTGACTTCTATCACCAGTTCCAACAACTTGACTCAACTGGACAAGATGGGGCATTATTTTACAACAGATTAGTGGGGGAAAATGAAAGGTTGGCTCATCAGAAAAAAAGATTGAATATTATTCCCCATGATAATAACTTCCACTTCTTCCAGGGAACCATCTTAACAGAGTATTGTCAAAAGAAAATCTATATATGTAGAACTTTTCTAAGCAGGTAGGTTTTCTCAGATCCTGAAATCCAGATGTTGCAGTTTGCTGTAGGCAGGGATGATTTGGTGTGTAAGTTTTCTTGTCTCAAATACATTTACCAGTTTGTAAAGATGACATCTTGGCTAAAGGAATGCCCTTGGATTGTTACAATATTTATCCATCCATCCATCCATCCATCCATCCATCCATTCATCTCATGCCATAATCTATATCATGCCTTTCCCAAGGAGACTAGCAACTTATGTTTTCTATATGTTGAGTGAGAAGAGACCAAATGTAACTCTAAAAGAGTTGAGTCCTGGAATAATGTAGGAGAAAACCATCTCCACGATCCAGAAAAAATTATAAAAGGAATACACTAAATTAGGAAGGCATCCTACTTTTTTGCATGGATCATAACTGCCATGCTCCTTGCTAACCTTTAACACACACTGTTCAAAGCTTATTCTCAATAAAAATAAAAAACAGAAAGGGGAGATAAAGAAAGAATGGCCTTATCTGTTGTAATTCTCACTTTCATTGAGACTCAGGAAGATAAAAAGAAATGACTCAGAACCTCCAGGGGAGAATCATTCACAGTTTTCAATTAAAATACTTCTATTCTTCATTTTAAACTAGTCTCAGTACATGGCACTTTAGAAAGTTAATAACTGAAAATGTCAGACTACTTGTCTTTGCTAGATTACTAATCTTCTGGTATTTAGTAAAATTGCTTTAAAGAGGTCTAGATTAATTTTTACATTACCCCTTCTTTTCTGTCATCTTCCTCTTACTGTACTAGAAAGTTATGATCTGTTCTGGATGCTTGTCTGCATTTTTATAGAAGGATTTTTTTTTTTAGTATTAACAATTGAAATATAGACATTTGCTAGTTTGATATAATTTTCAACAATAAGAAGCCCAAATAAAAATGAATGATTTTGATGTTTCACTATAACAAATATTATCCTATATTTAATAATACAACCCATAAGCACACACTTTTGCAAAAGCACTGGCATGCAAGGCTATGTGCGTACCAGTCATTAGCTTTACTTTCAAATAAAGTTATAATACAAAAATACTATTTTCTACATGTGAAATTGAATCATTCACTTGAAAAATATTTAACTGCAAGAGCATATAAAAGGCAATATAATACTGAAAAAGGATACGAGGAAAGAATAACCTATCATTAATCTATATCAATTTCTTCAAGATGCCATCAGCATTATGTTCTATTATTTGGTCAGTCTGCAATTTTAATAAGTGCCTGGAAATTCATATTTGATTCTGGGTGAAGTTTCTCCAATGTACAATTTTTGATCCAGAAATTTCTTCAGTCAAAATAATTCTATACTCAGCTTTTCCTATGGACACATTTTGCATGCAAAATTGGATAAAGATTGTATTATAAAATTTGGAGAAAGGCGAAGTGTAAAGAAGGACTTCCCATCTACAAATTATACGATGCCGATTAGTTACCAAATAAAAGTATAAATTAAGTTGGTTAAATTAAAAATGAGGAGCAAATAAAAAAAATTCTGTTCTGCCTGAGCACTATTACAAAACTATTAGAAAAGTGCAAGTTAGTAAACATTGCAAAATGGGAAAGGAAGAAAACTTGGATACTTCTTTGGTATATTTATTTAATAATAATTTGCAAAGATGTAAAAAAAAATAGAGAAACATTAAATAAGAAATAGAAAAAGATTATAAAAGGGTTAGGGAAATAGTGAACAAAAAAGCGAGCAAGAAAGTGATAGATAAAGAAGTGACTTCCAATTTTCTTCACAGGAGACAAAAAACCAAAGCCTAAACAA